TATATGTATAAAATAGTTGAGCAAGCCATGGGGAGCAAGCCAATAAGCAGCGTTCCCCCATGGTCTCTGCGTCAGTTCCTACCTCCAGGTTCCTGCTTAGAGTTCCTGCACTGAATCAGTGATAAACTATGACCTGGAAGTGTAGAACAAAATAATCCCTTTCCTCCCCAAGTTGTTGGGGTTTTTTTGGTCACAGTGTTTATCACAGCAAGTAATCAAGCAAGCAAGCAGGTAAATAAATGAAGCAAGCCACAGTTAAGCAAAGAGTACATTGCCACAATTAGCTCTCCAGGCTCCCAAATGGCTCCAACAGCCTCAGCCTTCCCTCAGGCACATGCTTGTGTAATCCGGGCTGGGCTGGCAGAGGGCTGGCATATAACTCCCAGAGTAAGTCCAGAAAGCACTATTTTCACCCTACTTTTGTCATTGCTCACAGGGGGAAAGCTAACTTCCATAATCTACCAACAAAGAAGCCTCTGTGACAAGAACTGAGACTTCTAGCCAAAGCCCAGTGAGGAAGTAAACCTGCCAATTATTGCACAAACAAGCATGGGACAAGATCCCCTCCAATCCCAGCTCCCCTCAAACTTTGGCCTGGCCACAGCATGGGCCAACAGCTTGACACCTTCGTGCAAGATCCTGGGCCAGAACCACTGGCTCACCTGCTCCCAGATTCCTGCTCTTAGGAACTGTTTGAGTAATACTTGTTATTTTAAGCCACCAAGTTTGGGGGTACAGTGCTATGCAATGACTAATATAGCTCTTCACCCCCAAATGACTGAACTAAGATAAAGACATACAAAATAGGTCTTCACCCCAAATGACTAAACTCAGATAAAGATAGACAACAAACCATGGAAGTTTATATTTAGAAAAATGGAGCCAGCAGAGCTCATACCTGTAACCCCAGAACACAGGAAAAAGGCTGATGCAAGAAGACTGCTGGGAATTTGAGGCCTGGGCTATACACAGACGTTCTAGGCCAGCCTGGGCTAAAGAGTGAAACTTCTGCTATATGGTAGTATTACACCTATAATTCCTGCACGCAGGAGGCAGAGACAGGAGGACTGCCAAAAAATTAAGGCTATCCTGATGTGTGTAACAAGTACCAGACCAGTCAGGGTTCAAGGTATAAAGGTGCTTACTCACAAGCCTGACCACCTACGTTCAATTCCTGGGACCAACATGGTAGAAGAAGAGAACCAACTCCTGCCATTGTCCCTCTGACCTCCACATGTGTTCCATGATACATATGCCTCCCCCTCACATACACAATCAATAAATAAGTATAATAATAAAATGAATACATAAATAAATAAAAATGAAGACAAGCAGAGCAGGGACATTTCTGAACGTACACTGCACAGCGACAGAAGCAACGTTGGGGAGACTCACCCTCTCCTCAAGTAGCTCTGAATGCTCTGATACGCAGCATTAAACATCTCCAGGTCCTCTTTGTCTCCAAAGAGAATGTAAGATTTCAGGAGGTATTCATAGAAGGAATCCAACCCAGCACCTAAGCCACTTTGCTTTCCAACCCAATGACCTGTCTGGATGTTCACAACATTGCCTGTGGAAACAAACAAGGTCCCAACCATGTCAGAGGCAAAAAGGGACAGGCCTCCTCCTTCCGTCTCACTGCTCCTCAGCATCTTTGTCCTTGTTAGACGTGAGCAATGAACAGCTGGCCCTATTTTTTTTTTTTGCCAGTCCTATCAGTAACTTAGAAAACAGAGCGATCACAGGGAGAGTGGGTGAGGGGTTGTATGTGTGTGTGGGGGGGGGTGTGCATGGGTGTTGTGTTATTCAGCTACTGACATAAAATAGGGATAAACATTTAAGGATTGACATTTTATTTTCCCAATATGTTAACACATTTCAAAACCCAAAATAGTATTCACAACCTTTTACTCGGTACTCTCATTCCTTAGACTTTCTCCTGAAAAAACAGTTCTTAAAAACAAAGAGTTGGGGGCTTGGGGAAAGAGCTCAATGGTGGAGCACCAATATGTACAAGGTCCTGAATTCACACTACCACAAAAAATAGCCAGATGTATATGGTAGTACATGCATGTAATCCCAGCATTTGGGAGGTGGAAACAGGAAAATCAGGAGTTTAAGGTTATCCTTGGACTACACAGGGAATTTGAAGACAACAACAACAAAAAGGACAATTATGAAGCGTTTAAAATGGTAACTATGCCTGGCACATCCCAGCACTTGGGAGGCAGAGGCAGGCCGATCTCTGTGAGTTCAAGGTCAGCCTGGTCTACATAGTAACTTCCAGGCCAGCTGGGGCTAGAGGGAGACCCTGTCTCAAAAAAAGACAAATAAATAAATAAACAAATAAATAAGTAAAATGGTAACTATGAGAATATGGTAACAACTTGGAAACATTAGAACTACCTGTAAAGGGGACAGTAGAATTAAAACCTTTGTTTCTATTAATAATGTGTTATAAATGAAAAGAAACAAAAGTTACACACAGGAGGCTAAGAGGGTCTATGGAGAGTTAGGCACTCAACCATTTGAGAAGGACTAACAACCTGATGGACCATTTCCTTTCTTCACTTTTTTGTTTTTAATTGTTTGTTTGGAGGAGGTTGTTTTGCGTTTTCTTATTAAGACAAGATCTCACTATACAACTCAAGCTGGCCTCAATCTCACCACCCTCCTGCCTAAGCAGGATTTACAGTTATGTGCCACCATACCCAGCTTGAGTATTTCTACTGTTATCATTTAATATAACAAGTTTGTATATAAATTTTAGAACAAAAAATTACTTTTAAAAAATCTTTTATAATGAACCACTATGGTTCCAAAACAACCAAATTATTTCCTGATGCCAAAAAGAAAATAACTCTCAGTTAAGTTTATTGGCTCAAACCCATTTTAAGACAACTTCATGAGTTAGCAAAATATTAGTGACTAAAGATGAATGACAAATCCAGAGGCCATTCTTTCCTACAATGTCAACTATTTATGCTTGAAACTTTCCTTAATTTTAAAATATCTTAACTAAATATTCTCAAGGGGGAGGGAACCCATCTAATACAGGTATGACCTTGGCTTTTACCTAGTTTGTTTTTTTTTTTTTTTTTGTTTTTTTGAGGCCGGGTCTCCCTGTAGCCCCAGCTGGCCTGGAACTCCCTATGTAGACCAGGCTGGCCTTGAACTCAGAGATCTGCCTGCCTCTGCCGCCCAAGTGCTGGGATTAAAGGCGTGCGCCACCACGCCCAGCTTAGTTTTCTTTTTTTTTTTAAAGGAGAAAGCCTCTCCCCCAGAAACTCTAAATATCTGTATTTTCAGAACCTTACATTAAAGTAATAAATTGTGCCTCGGAGGCAGTTCTTTTTATGGCATTCCCATTAACAATAATTTTCAAGTGGAATCTAGAATCATTAGGGGCTCTAACAGCTGACCCATCCTCATCTTCCCTCAAACCTCCAGCTTCACCCTAAGCAGAAGGTCACAGGAAGAAACTAGACTGGCAAACACTGAAGGCTGTTCTTCAATGTTCAGCTTCAGTGGTAAGGAAAGATGCAGTCAGGATGGAGGTAGGAGATGATGGAAACTGAAGCAGGGCAGAAGGCACACCCCACCTAATAGTCCCGTGTCGTTGCTCCGAAGGTTCCAGAGGGCTTTCACGGCTCGTCTGGCGACCCACTCAAAGGTGGAATCCCCTAGCAGCCGGCTCAGAATCCCAAATTCCACCAGAAGAGAGCCAGCTCCTGCGGTGCACGTCTCATTGTTGCTGTCAGGAGGAACGCCCGTCTTTAGATTCACCTGGGACAGGAAGTCAAAAGCTGTGTGGAAGTAGGCAACAGGACCCCAGCACTCAGGAGGACAAGGCAGAAGGATCACAAATTTGAGATGATCCTGGGCTACGAGCTGAAGGCCAGCCTTGGTTCAGTGTAAGACTTTGCCTCAAAAAAACGTTTCATAGTAAAATCCAAAAATTCACAGGATTGGGGCTGGAGAGAGAGTTCAGTAGTTAAGAGCACTGGCTGCTCTTCTAGAGGACCTGGGTTCAGTTCCTGGCACACACGTGGTGGCTAACAACCATCTGTAACTCCAGTTCCAGGGGATCTGAGGCCCTCTTCTGACCTACACAGGTACCAGAAACACATGTGGCACACTTACACACATGCAGGAGAAACACTCATACGCATACACATAAAATCTTTCTTAAAATATGGCTTATGAAGGTTTTTTAAAAGATGACTTATGAATTTAAAAGAATTCACAGGATTGAAAAGCCAAGTCATAGATATGAACTTAGCTTCTGAATGAAGCTCACTGAGACTCCATCCGCCACTGACACACGAGATGAGTACGGGAATAAGTTTAAGAGACACCAACAAGGCAGCAAGAACACTGGAGCCTTATCACTTCACTTATGTCAGGCACTAAGCCATCTCTCTCTGGTGGAGTTTTCTTCATGATTATACATGTATCAAGCTTCAGGGTGAGACACACATGAGTTATAGAACAGCTTCCGAACTTTAAGTGAGCTTTTGCAGACTCCCTCCTGATCAACACACGCACCAAGTCTCAGGCTGGGAGAGAAGGCAGAGGCTCGCCAGGGTATGACAGGCAGTTTCATCATGGAGGTTCTGTGGTCTGCCAATTCTCCCCTGGTTACCTCAATTCCTAGAGGAGTTATTTGGCTTGGTGAATCAGACATCACAAAGATACAATCTCATTCCAGATCCTGTTTCTAAATCAACATTTGATTGGCTGGTCCATGCAGACTTCACTTGAAGGAACCTTGTGAAGCATTCAAAGGAATATTTTCTGAGCTCCTGTCACTTGAAGGAACCTTGTGAAGCATTCAAAGGAGTATTTACTGAGCTCCTGTCACACATGTGAGGATCTTTAGGGAAATACATTCAAGTGGGAATTGAAAACTAAGTCCCTACACTACCAGGTAGCAGAGAACATAAATCACACATAGAAAGGACCTATGAGTGTTAAACACAGTTCCTTTAGGGGAGAAGCTATTGCTGCTATATTGCTGTATGTCTAGCACACAGCAGTGCCCAGTAAATGCTGAATGAATTAAAAACACTGACGTGTTTTAGGACCAAATCATCCCCAAGGACACTTTCTTCTTGTAGTCAAGCCTTATGCTGTCTATAGAACAGTTCTAATTCAGAAAAAGACTGAATTGAGAACAAATCAGTCAGGTGTGGTAACATACACCCGCAATCTCCACACTTGAAGGCTGAGGCAACAGAAGCACAAGTTCAAAGCCAGCCTGGGCTACATAGCATAATACCTTGTCTCAAAAACAGGAAATAATCAGGACAAACTAGTCAGTATACCTACCCGAGGATAGGGAATCCCTGTCTTGGTGTTTTCAAAAGCAGGCAGGAGTCTAACAGCCAGGTCATGGGCCATGTGCAATAATTCGTTATCATAATCCTCAATTGTCATGTCACCAAAGGGCTGTTTGGAGTCAGTTATTATTCTGTGAGCAGAAAGGAGGCTTCCCAGAACCCTAATGGCAGGAAGAAAAAGAATAATAAAATCATATTGCTTCTAAGTGCACAGTAGTCGATTTAGAAAGAAAAAGAAGCCTCTACTTCCTTGTGGGCTCAGAGCTGCCTGGAGTCAGATGGACCCGACTTAATGGCCTCTAATGGTCCTCTCCAGCGCTGACTGGCTGATCCTTAGTTCACTGCATTACTGTCAGAGGTGGGGAATCATTCATGCAAGGTGACTGAGAACACCATTTAAGGCAGTGACGGATTAGGTCGCCTTAAGAGAAGGAACTATACTAATTAGGGAGTATGATGATTGTCTCAAAATATGTATCACCTATTAATATCATTAAATGTTTATTGATTCATCTCCCCTGGGGAAGAAAATTTAAGCATATGAGAAATAGAACAGAACACAATAAACACTAAGCGAGTCCGCAGTTCTATGCCAGGCGAATAACGAACTTCCAGAGTATGCAGAGACACAAGGGGGAGATGGGGTACAAAGTAGAAATAGCCTCCTGAGAGAGAGAGGAGGTGAGTCTTAGATTCATGTCTCTGCAGACGGGTGACTGTCCAGTGATAATTACCTAAAAAAGATTGCTACATTTTTCAAACAAATCATTTCTTCTTTCTTGCCTTATAATGAATGATTCCAAAAAACCTTAATTTTAAGTAATACCACATCCAGAACTGGAATGTCATGTAGTAATCCAATTTTCAAAATATTTAAACAGGAAAAGAATCACAATCTCACAAATTACAGAAAGTGAGGTATAAAACTGGATGCAGGCCATGATCCTAATATTTAGCAAAGATCAAGTGATTAATGAGAAACATGTAAGAAGGAAATATACCGAAAAACCAAAGAGCCGTCTTCTGCGGATGGAAAGACAAGAAAATATTCACAAATACATACAAGTTTTCCTAGGGCAGAGTGAAAGACAGAAACAAGAAAGGTCATGAAGGGAAACAACAAACTATATCACAGGAACACCTCTTACACACCCACTAAAACGTGTGGCTTCTGCCAGCCCAAAATGGGATTACGTTCAAGCACCAAATGTCCAACTTTCGTAATACTAAATTTAAATGAACACAAAAACCACATACAGAGTCCGGGTGTCCCTATGGACTTTGCCTGCATCATGGGGGCTGGAACAGTCTCAAGGGAATTCAATTCTTTTTTATTTTTTGGTCTTTTTGAGACAGGGTATCCCCATAGCCCCAGCTGTCCTGAAACTCACTATGCAGACCAGGCTGGCCTTGAACTCACAGAGATCCACCTGTCTCTGCCTCCCAAGTGCTGGGATTAAAGGTGAGCACCACCATACCTGGCTGGGAATTCAGTTCTTTATACACAAAAAAGAAGACTTCAGGGGCTGGAAAGATGGCTCAGTGGTTAAAGAGCACTGGCTGCTCTTGCAGAGGACCAGGGTTGGGTTCCCAGCACCCACATGGAAGCTAACAAACATCTGAAACTGTAGTTCCAGGGGTCTAATACCCTCTTCTGGCCTCTGTGGGCATTGCACACACACATGCACTTCCACAAATGCAGGCAAAACACTCATACACATAAAAGTAATTTGTTTTAAAAGAAGCCTTCAGTCCTTTTCATAAATTTTACCTTATTGTAGCCTCAAAGACTTGAACGGTGGAATCTTTGTCAAAGGAAACAGTGTTGATGACTAACTTGACGGCTTTCTGGAACTCTGATGAATTTCCCATTATCTTTAAACAGAGGAACACAAAACATTATAGCAGCTTGAAATGAAACCGAAGTCACAGCAGGCCACTGCATCTCAAGGCCTGCACTGCCTGTGCATTTGTCACAGTGGGAATAAAAACAGAGTAGAAAAGCAGTAATTTTTCACAGTATATTCCAGGACAGATGGCAAGCCTGACTCCTGTCACTCAAGGATCCTATCTGTAAGTGGCAGAACTGTGCAAACACTGCACAGAATCACTGGCATGCCTCAGCTTCCATGCTCCTCTCCCTCAAGCTTTAGTCTAAGACAAGGCAGTACAGTTTCTAAAAACTTCTGTAATGGTAGAAAATTAAAGAAACTAAAATATAATTTTATCTCTGCTCCTCAAATAAACCCAAGATGTCTGGAAAACTGAATTTGCTGCTTTCCATCCAGACATGTAAACATGCCAAGGACTAATAATAATGTCTTCTGAACACAGCACAAAACCAGTGACATTTCAACAGAAGAGCGCCAGGGAGATGACTCAGCCAGGAAAAGTACTTGCACCGCAAGCCTGACTAATGACCCAGAACCTACGGGAAAGCGGCGCAGTTTGTCCTCTGACCGCTACATGAATGCTGCGGTATATGTGTGCCCTTAAATACAAACATGCATGCACACATACCCAAAAATAAATAGTTTAAAAATAAAAACAAAAGGGCTAGAGTCAGTTAGGAGCACTGACTGCTCTTGCAGAGGAACCAGGTTCAGTCCCAGCACCTATATGGGAGCTCACAACTGTCTGTAATTCCAGTTCCAGGGGATCCAACGCCCTCTTCTGACCTCCACGGACACTGCATGACACAGGTGCACCTACCTGCATACAAGCAATACACTCAAACACATAAAATAAAAATAATAAATAAATAAAAATAAAAACAAAACATAAACTATCAGCTGCATGCCCAATTTAAAAATGAGGATTCCTAGGGCTGGAGAGATGGCTCAGAGGCTAAAAGCATGCACATGTGCTTGCAAAAGACGCAGGTTGGATTCTCAGCACCCACATGCAGCTCACCACTGTCTGCAACTCCTATTCCAGGGAGTATGACTCCCTCTTCTGGCTTCTGTGGGCACTGCACGCATGTGGTACAGATACACACACAAGCAAAACACTCATGCATAAAATTTTAAAATACAATAAGATAAAAATATTTTTAAAAATTAGGATTCCTATCATTTCCATGGAAATGATTTAATTTTGCTCAAAATTTTATGGCAATTTTTTGAAACGATATCATAAGGACACACACAGAAAGAGACAGACTCTCCTTTTAGGTATACCCTATTCTCTAATTTCACTGGTCTGCCACATTTCTTACATCAGTATCTCCTAACATACACAACAAATGCACACTTTCTTTTTCAGAGATCATGCAACAGTGCTCAAGTTACAGGCAATGATCAGGGTACTGCTTTCCCCTGAGGGCTCCTAAAGTTTATCTGTTAACAACTGTTTAAAATGTTAGCAAAATAAAGGAAAATCCTCAACATATGTTAACACCTGAAAAATAAGCCTGATGCACTAGTGCATTCAAGACCGGATATTCTACAATGAAAACCACAGAAATAGATCTGTTTCCATACAGATGTTCACCAGCAACAGTATCTGTTGCAGCTGCAGAGCTGATAAACAATCTCAGATCAAACAGGGATAGTACAGAAATCCAGGAACTCTGAATTACACACTGCCACATTACTACATTAGTCAGATGGCCAGTGAGCCCCAAGTAACAGGGCAGAAATCCTCTCATGCTTGAGAGAAGGAGGGATGGGACAGAAGAATCCAACAGAACCTTTAAGATGAGACACCTGTAATCCGTGTAACTCCAGCCCTTAGGAAACTGAGGCAGGACGACTGCCACCAGTGTGAGAGACCAACTCAAAAAACAAAACAAAATGGCTGGGATGTAGCTCAGAACACTCACCTCACATGTGCAAGCCCTGAGATCCATCTCCAGGACCACAAAAAAAAAAAGAAAAATAACAACAACAAAAAGCCCCACATGCCTATAACACTTGGGGGCGGAGGTGAGAGAATTGCCCCAAGTCCAGGGCCAGCCTAGTCCTTATTTTTGAAACCTTCTTCTCAAAAATTAAATAAACACAGCCAGCAAGATGGCACAGCAGGTAGGGCATTTGCTATCAAGTATAGAGACCTGAGTTTGATCCCTGAAACTCACATGGTAGAAAAGAAGAAACAACTCCATTACCTGTCCTCTGACCTCCACATACATGTTACAGCATGCACACTTGCATGAATACATGTGCACACGCACGCACACACACACACACGCACAGCATAAATGCTAAAAAATTTAATAATATAAATTTTTGAACCCCAAAGTAAAAATTTAAAAATCAAATAAACAAAATAGTAGTATACAACTTGGCTCCCGATAGTCAGAATTTCTCCAGTTCATTTGATGACAATGCTGTTCCTCAAGGAGCACAGCCTTAGAATATGTGTTGGGCAATAATGGATTAATGGAAATTCATCTAACTACAATCCACAGTCCCATTATGTACCATTTACTGTCAAGTATGGAGAATAAAGTAAATAATAATAAGATCTTTGTACTAAGCAAGCAAAAAGACGGGGGAAAAAAAAAACATAATAGGGTATAAAGGAGCTCAAGGAGAAGTGAGCTTTATTAAGCTACACCTGAGTCTTAGGACTCTTAAAACATTTGCAGGCTGAGTCAGCCTCTAGAATCTTCAACAAGTTAGCTCTAATTATGCTGCACTTACTTGTCTGGGCACATTTTGAGAAGTGATGGTGGATGACTTAATGCAGCAGCAATCACCTAAGAAGGAAATACGGAGAAACTGAAACTGCTCTGCAACTAGAGCCTAGAAGGAAACCCAGCAGCCCTGTTAGAACAGGGGCCTGGTCCTATTTCTGCTGCTTATAAAATGAAGACACAGAATGCTACCTCCAGCTCTTTCCAAGTCCTGGTAGGTCTCCTACTGCCATAACACTAAATTGTAGTGATGAAAACTTGTGCTAGCATTACCCAATTACACACAACTCCTGACCCAACAGCTTTAAACTTTTCTTAGAAATGTTTAAAGGAACTAGATGGATCATTAGGTAGAGAATTTAAGATAGGAGCAGTAGGGCTTTCTAATAGTAAAGACTTCTTAGATAAGAGAAACAGAAAAGAGGCTGCAAAATTACTAAGGAAACTGTAAAATAAGTCAGGCTGACAAAGTCCCTTGTGAACTGATTTCAACAGTGCATGGTCATAAAGCACTGAAGCACAAAGACACAGTCTGACAGATGTTCAGTGTGGCTCGCTACCCTAGTGTGTTTCTTGTGTTTGTGTTCAAGGTCTCTAGCCCCCAGGATCTGTGAGGGACACCACAGGATGAGACACCACGGGTAAAGACAGTGCCCAAGCTGGCAGCCCACACCTGGACTGACAGTAGCCACAAGACAAGAGCAGTGAATACCAGCAGGTAAGCAGTGTTCATGGAGCAGGCCCCACATGTGGGTGGGTACCAGGCAGACACACTCCTGGGGAGCCAGCAGCTACACAGTATTTTGGGGTGCCTTCTGACACTGAACTCTTCTAGTTTTAACTCCTAAGATACTGACTTACATTATAACTTAAAAAGAAAAGAATGACAGGATCCTAGAAAGGAGCTGACAAAAATTACCCTTCCAAATGAACTTTATTAGGCGAGAGAGCCTTCTGGCCACAGGCAGCCATGATGAGATGTTAAAGTAGAAGAGCATTAAGAGAGAGAGCTGCCATGTACAGCATGAAGGGGGTCCTGAAGGGAAAGACAGACCTTTCACTTCCAGAGAATAAAGTGGGTTTCTGACTCTTACAGGTTTTTGGAGGTGTAGGCAAGCTTCATTATTATGTGATCTAGGTTGGCCTAGTCTGTGTCAAGGAGCACAGAGGCAGGCACTGGGCAGGACCATACACCTATGTGCAGCTGCAAGGAGGAGGGGCTGCAGGCCACAGCACAGCATGCTTTCTTATTAACTGTCTCAGAGAGTGTTGTAGGGTGTGTGGAGCCCGATTTCTGGGAGAAAGGCAGCTAGACGGTCTATATGGCGGTTTGAATGAGGAATGTCCTCAACAGGCTCACGTACTTGAACACTGGGTCCCCACTTGGTGGCACAGTTTGGGGAAGTTGTGGAACCTTTAAAGGTGGAACCTTCCTTGCTGGAGGAAGTATGTCACTGGGGATGGGCTTTGAGGATTTATAGCCTCACTCCACTTCCTGCACTTGCCCCCGCCCCCTTTGTGCTTCCTATGTGCAGATGAAAATGTGATCAACCAGCCTCCTTGTTCGAGCTGCCATACTGTGCCTTCCCTGCCATTATGAACTCTCCCTCTGCAATCAAAAATCAAAATAAACTCTTTCTTCCTTAAGTTGCTTTTGGTCATGGTGTTTATCACAGCAACAGAAATGTAACTAATACAGACTATGTAACAGTCTACAGTAACTAATTAGTGAAATTCTCTAGATTCTATTTGTATATAAAATGACCTGCGAGAAAAAGCTTTCTAAAAACCAGTCATGTTTCCTCTCCACCTTTAAAGCAGAATACTATTTAACCTTCAGTGCTTTTTATTGCTGTTCCCAGAAAGGTCATTAAAATAAAAAACAATCATCAAAGCCTTGAGTGTAGCAATTCTTAGAATTCCCATTCCATTCCAGGGGGATTGCAGAAATACAATGAACTCCCAAACACTTTCTCTTAATTATCTTAATTAAAGAAGAAAGGGCTGAATACTTACTGCAAGTGTATCCAAGGCATCAACAAGAGTCAAGGAGTAATTTCCCAGGACGTCATTGATGTTCAGATTTGAACTGAAAAACAAACAACATTCAACAATAGTACTTTGTGTTTAAAGTAGAGGGGGAAAAAAACCATAAAACTAAACACCCATCAGAAAGGAAACCTGTGGACAACTCTTATCTTTTCAGATACTGATTATGAGTAGACCAGCATGGTAAAGCTTTCTGTCTCAAGAACAACAGCTTCTGTAGCATAGGATGAAGACAGAGAACTGTGGAGACATCCGCACAGAACCGGAGTAGAAAAAACTCAAGGGGAATCTAGAGATGAACAGGCTCTGTGACCCTGACCAACTTCAAAATTTTCTAAATTTCACAATGGTTAGGAACTGAAGGAGCGATCCTGCCACATGGCCAACTGTAAAGTTCAATGCTGCAGTCTCACACTTTAGCCAAGCACACAATGAAAGCAGCAAACACGGGCAGCTGCTCTATCAATGTGACTCACCGGGGAATAAATGAACTTCTTTATACCCTTCCTTCACTAATATCTCATGCAAAGACTCTCCATTATTCCACAAATTTTGAAGGGATATCTTTTCATATGAGCCAAACAGGAACTCAGGTCCTTCTCCCTCACTCCTGGTGCTGTGTCAAAGTTTCTACCCTCATAATCAATATCCCATCCTGAAATCATGTCAAGAAACCAACTACAGGGCTGGGAATATAGCTCAGGGGTAGAGGACCTGCCTGCCACAGTCTCTGCCCTCGGTCCCAATCCCAGCCCCTCAAGAAATTCAAACTAAAAATCAAACTACAGGACAACATACAAGGAAAAGCTCTGAGTAGTCTTCTATTTCCTTATGGCTCAAACCATGACACATGACAACACCAACACACTCAGGAAGGTTGGAGAAACCGTGAAATATATATAGCTCAAGAAATTCAGACCAAAGCCTTCACCAACTCCTTTGTCCCATTCCCACAAAGCCAGGAAATAATTCCAGGGGAAGAAAATGATAAGATCTCATATACTGGAGACCAAAGAAGAAAAGCCCTACTTCCATTTCCAGCCAGATTCATTTGCATCTGACATCTTCCATCTCTGCACTTCAGCCAAACCTGCATCATCCTAAGAGGCCCTCGTCCTACTTCCTTCCCTGGGAAAGAAACTTGTGGGGCAGCATCCCCCAGGTTCTGGATGGCCTGGCCTGTTTTGTCTCTCTAAGAGGCCTTATGGAGGAGCCAGTTGAGATATGACTCAGTGGGTAAAGGTGCTTGCCGCCAAGCCTGACAACCTGAGTTCAATTCCTGGACCCACAAGGTGGAAAGAGAGCTCTGACTCCCACAAGCCACAGCATGTGCCTCTGCCGCCATACATACACAAAAGATAAAAAGCCTTCCAGACCTCAGCCAGCGTGAAGTGGAACTTGCATGAAGAAGCAGACATAACAGTTCCTTCATGAGATTTTATCTGAACCTTCCAGTTGCTCTGTTCCAGGCTGTTAGGCCACTGAATGGGGGACAAGGAATTTATAGCAAAACTATAGGTGTATTTGTAGAACAAGCGAGCTGGAAGGGGTTACCCAGGAACTCAAGCCACCCTATCTCCCACAGCCATGGAGACACAGCAGGAAAACATGCTGCTTGTTGCTCTTTTGAAATGAATTTACATAATTGCAAAATGTGTTCTCAGGGCCAGAACCCAGGATTCAAGTATGCCCCTCAAAAGCAGTGCTAGCCAGAAAGCACACAGGAACTGCCAAGGGGTGCAGGAGAGTCAGAGCAGACATTCTCAACCTCATCTGAGTAACTCAAAAGAACACTTTCATTGAATTTTAATTTTTTTAATATTTTATTTATTATTTTTTATTTTTATTTTATGTGTATGCATGTATTGCCTGCACATAGGTAAGTGCAACCATGTCGTTCAGTTCCCGCAGACTTTTTTATTTTATGTGTATGCATGTATTGCCTGCACATAGGTAAGTGCAACCGTGTCGTTCAGTTTCCGCGGACGACAGAAGAGGTTGTCGGATCCCCTGGAACTGGAGTGTCAGACAGTTGTTAGCTGCCATGTGGGTGCTGGGATTCGAACCTGGGTCTTTTTCAAGAACAGCCAGTGCTCTTAACCGCTGAGCCACCTCTCCAGCCCCTGAATTTTAGTATTTAGTTACTATGCTCTGCTACTCAGAGTGAGTGCCAACCGCCCACCTCACCAGAAAAGACTTCCATGTCATTTAGCATCTGAACTAGATAGATGTAGAAGCACAAATCACATTCAGGAATCTGTCCTGGGTTCCACCCTAACCTCAGGCATGTGTCCCAAAGAAGGCATTACTAATTTTGAGCGCTGCACTCCTTTCCAAGTTTTATTGTGATTTTTTTTTTTTTAAGTCTACACAAAAAAGGGACTCAGTATTAAAATATTTAAGGAGTGGGCAAGTAGCTACTGGTAGAACCCTTGCCTTGCATGTATTAAGACTCTGGGTTTGAACCTCAGCACCACAGAAAACTAAACAACAACAACAGCAACAGCAGCAAAAACCCTCTCAATACAATGCCCAAATAGTAATATTAGGTAACTATTGCAGAGTTTTTTAAAAAAAATATATTTGCAATAACTGAGCCAAGTATAGTGCTGAACGTCTTTAATCCCAGCACTTGGGAAGCAGAGGCAGGTGGATCTCTGTGAATTCAAGGCCAGCCTCATCTCCATAGCGAGTTCCAGGCCAGCTAGGACTACAGGGAGACTGTCTCAAAACAAAAAAAAAAATGTATTTGCAATTACTGTGATGGTTCCACTCTAGTAAGAAAAATACATTTAGATCTAGAGTATCAGTAGAAACATTTGAATTCTTTTCTACCAAATAATTGCTATCCAGTCTTTAAAGATGTGCCAGGAGAGGGCACATTTGAATTCTTTTCTACCAAATAATTGCTATCCAGTCTTTAAAGATGTGCCAGGAGAGGGCACATTTGAATTCTTTTCTACCAAATAATTGCTATCCAGTCTTTAAAGATGTGCTAAGGGAGGGCCAAGCATGGTGGCAAACATGTATCATCTCATCACTTAGGAGGCTGAGGCAAGAGTTGTCAAGTTGAAGGCCACCTTGGCTTTCACAGCAACATTACATCTCAAAAAAAGGTTAAATAATAAGTTTACACAGCAAGTTCCAGACCAGCTAAGGCTATAGGGAGACCCTGTCTCAAAAAGACCAAAAATAAATAAATAAATAAATAAATTAAATAAATAAAAATAACGTGCTAAAATAAAGGGAAAGAAGGAGGGGGCAGGGGAATCAGACACTTTCAATAGTAGGTCCTGGCCTAAGAGCAGCACATTCTCCTGATTCTCTCAGCCCATTCTTCAGGTAAAAGTGCTCTTCAAACACTCTTGTTAAAGCACAGTCTGCCCAACAGCTCAAGTAACTCAAGCCAGGAAGCCACAAAGCAAAATTCAAGAGGACACATCTTCCCATGTAGCCAGCCGGCTGGACCATATCCAAATCCCTCCCAACTCACTACGGGAATGGCCGTTTATAGCAATCATTGCACTGTGAAACTTCAAAATTCTTACCATCTCTAAACAGAAAAGATGAAAAAAAACTATGACCCCTGCTAGAAAAATCTTTGATTACGAAGTTGACAAAATCAAAGAGACGGGTTCCCCACCCCAACAAATCCTACACAGACTGAACCTGTAACAGCTGTTTTAGAACAGAGATAACAAACAGTCGCATGCACTCAAGGGATTAAAGGGACATGAAGAACAATGGCACTCGATTCTCAAGCAACCTTTAATGTGGAATGGCAGCTCGGAGGAAAGGAATCCAAAGGGGAACTGAGCAAGTCTGGGAGAATCACCTTCAAACAGCTCAAAGAAAAACAGACAAGCCTGGCTCTGAAAGAGTCGAAAGGAAAGAGCAATTATGAGGAAGTCCATCTTTGCTTGGCAAACTCATACACCAGCAGAGGCTGGAGGAAGACTCCAATGTCCTGCTCTGTCCTGCTCCATCTTATTCCCTTGAAACACAGCTGGCATCCGGCAAGGCCCAGCAATTCTATCTCTAACCTGGGAATTTGAACTCAGATTCTCATGTGTGCACAGCAAGCACTCTTACCCAGTGAGCCATCTCCCCAGCCCAGGACGTAGCTTAAGCTGGAGGTACCTGGGAACAAACTAGGTAAGGAGCCAATATTTAATCTGTTCACTGGAGATTTGCTTTTTGTTTTAGTAGTAATGTGATTGAGGAAAACTCAAGCATGGTCACATGCCTAGAGTCTGACTTTATAGTTGCCATCCACAGAATGACAAGAAATACCTAAATTTACTCTAAGGAACCCTTGAATACGGATCCTTTGACCCAACAGTAGTCTGGACCCAGACAAAGATCAGCTATTTTTACAGTGTTCAAGATTTTTTTACTTCTAGTTAATGTCACAGGTCAACCAGGTCTATTAAGACCAGCAACATAAGAATTAAGATGTGACTAGAGCATAGACAGAGCCAGGTTCTGTGGTCTGTGCTTATATTACAGCCCTTGGGAGGTGGAAACAGGAGCAAGAAGAGCCGAGGTCATCCTCAGCTACATACAGAGTTGAAGGCTACCCTGGGCTACATGAGACCTGTCTTACAAAATAAAAAAAAGGAAGGAGTGTGAGAGGAAGACATGCATGTTGAGTATCTTGGTTTTGTGCCTTTTTAGGTAATATTCCAATGGAAAGTTCTCAGTTATTTAAAAAGAATCAGAATATATAATATAATAACAATAACAAATATATTTGAGTTTTAAAAATCTAAAAGATTTTTGCTTGGCACAGTTAAAGCACATCTTATAAGTCTAGGCCAAGGCAGAAGAATCCTAAGTGTGAGGATACCCTGGGCTACATAAGGATATGGTCTCAGAATTAATTTTTTTCTTTTTTATTTATTTTCTGCAGGACTACGAATTGAACCAGGATCTCCTGCATGCTAGGCAAGTGTTCTACCACTGGGCTATATTCCTAGCCCTCAGAGTAAGATTTTATTTCTATGTGTGTGTGTGTGTGTGTGTGTGTGTGTGTGTGTGTGTGTGTGTGTATGTGTGTGAGACAGGCCACAGGTGTGGGTGCCTACCAAGGCCAAAAGAGGGCATCGGATCCCCGCAGCCCAAGTTACAGGTGGTTGTGAGCCGCTCTCATGAGCTGTCTGATACGACTGAGTTCTGGGTCCTCTGCAAGAGCAGCATGTGCTGAGAATCTTGCTTAGTGGCAGAGCATTGAGCATGCCCTGTGTTCAATTTCCTTTACTAGAATTAAAAGTATCTTAAAGACTTTTTATTATAGTGTATTTATTTGAAGATGCAAAAATATCCAACTTGTTCAGAACTGGAATGACAAAGTAGGCTTGAAACTCTCCTAGATACCACCAAAACACGAGAGGGGCTAAACTACAACACTCTATGCCTTGCAAGTGGCCAGAGTGAGGATCTGCTCAAGGTCGCAAAACCCCAGAGTCCTTTTACAGCCTCAAAAACACAAAAGCCAAATGCCACACACCCCCAATACTGCTTATTGCATCTTCACAGTCAGAGACCTGATATTAACACATAACCAAGCCACCAACCACCAACCTTAAATAAAGGCCTACATACTCAAGACACCACTGGGACAACAAAGTTCAATGGACTACCATCACCTTGCCTTGCTGGAACGAGGACTCCAGAAAACTCTTAAGGTTCTTTAAGAAAATCATTAAAGCCAGGCCTCATAAAACAAGCCCGTAATTCCAGATACTTCAGGGTCTGAAGCAGAAGAATCACAGGTTTAAGGTTCGCCTGGGCTACAGGGTGAGTTCAAAGCTGGCCTATGCAATTTAGCAAGACTGTCTCAAAACAGAAAATGACAAAAAGCTGGGAGTATAGCTCAGCAGTACAGTGCCTGTCTAGCGTGCATAAGGCCCTAGGGTTACAAGCACTTAGAAGCTGGCTTTTGCTAAACAGCACTGACTTCTCACTTGGGCTGACAATATAACTAAACATAAGGTAAAAGCCTGCAATCTCCATCTTCATTCTGCACCTGTCTCCTCTCCTTTGAGTCACTGATTATCTCTGCACACACACAAGTTAATCACTCAAGGAATGTCTGTCTAGACAGCAGTGATACCTAACCTTCTCATTCCCCTTTAAGACACTGTATTAAACCTGCTGTCACACAGATTGCAAGAACAGCAAGGTTTGGCAGGCAGGCTAGAACACCCCCAAGATGATGGAGAGACTACCCTCTAAGCAGATCATTTTATGGGAACTAGATTGGTCCCTCAGTTGAATGATGACAACAATGAACAGACTAACATTGTATAGGCCCACCTTGAAAGACCTGAGCTGATAAAATAATGACCAGGACCACAGCTGGACCAGGACTGCTTAGTTATGCATATCTCTTGCCAGCAGCCCCAATCCTTCCTCTATTTGAACTCAAGACTCACAGCAGTGTCCTGAAAACAAATTTAAGAGCAACGAGGCCCCTTTTCTGTTCTTCCCAAGATGTTAATTAAATCTCCTTTCTCTGCTTTGTACTAATACTTGTGTCTTTAATTGACACTTGGGATACATGGCCAAGTCCAGCTTATTACAACTGCTAGAGCCAGGGCTTTTAGGGTAACATTCCCATTGTGCTCTGTACAATCAGAAAGAAAAGAAGGAAGGGGGAGAGAAGAGAGGGAGGGGAAGAAGGGAAAGAAGGAAAGAAGGGAAGGAGGAAGGGAAGGAAGATAAAAAGGGAGCTAGGAAGGAAGGAAATATCAAATCACTCTCCAGACCATTTTATTCCCTAGGGAACAGATCACAATTCCTCATTAAACTGTTTTCCATGCTCCACCAGTAAAAGAAAATCTGGAAACCAATCTGTGAGGGAGAACAAGAGCACTCACTGAGAAGACTCTTCCTCCAGTAATATCATGAGCACCAGCAACAAAACACCATTAAGATCCAAAATAGGGGCATGCTATGGCTGCAACTATGTACAAAAATGTGTTGGCACGTGGGTAGGAACTAGGAGAAAAGACCTAGTGAAAATAACTGGTGGCATTTTCAGTTGTCCCCTACCAAATTTAATGAAATATATTCTTACAAGATAAGGAAAGAGGAAACAAAGGAAAGCGGAAAGAAAAGGGGAAAAGCTGAGATAGAGAAGATACATCCATAGGCATAACGTCTCCTCTGTGCTCCTTATAAATGAGAAAGCTCATCCGTTTCCTTTAATCCAGCAAAGGAGTAGTGTTACAAGAGGCAGTGGGTTCAATCTCCAATGCTATTGAATGTGAGGGAGAGAGAGAAGGAAAGAGAAAATTAGGAAAAAAATATTATGTACAAAGCAAGATAAAACTGCTCCTTAGTTGCCCAGAACTATGGAAAGGTCAAGTCCCACTGTCTGGGATGTGTCCTTGCTATTAGCTCATCAGGTTACAAAGACATGAATTTGCACTTACCCAACCCATTTTTAAAACTCTTCATGCCCTTTCTCAGTATTAGCTTCCCTTTAAAAACGTTTTGTTTTGTTTTTTCACATTTACTGTGTGTGGGGTGGGTGGGTACATGTCACTGCCCATGTTTACAGGTCAAAAGAAACTTGAAGTCAGTTCTCTCCTTCCACCACGGGAATCCCAGGGATTGAACTCAGGTCCCGGCTAGGAGGTAAGAGCTCTTACCCCACTGAACCACCTTGCCAGCACTTAGCTTTCTTTTTAGAACCTAAGAATTGGACTCCACTGTTTCCTTCAAGGTAAAGGAAAAGCCCCGCAGCAGGTGTCCATGGGTGCCCATGTGTGCTGTCAAGACAAAGATCAAGCCCACTCCTCCACCTCCACCAAAGAAAGAAGAAGGTAGAAAATACAGCAGTCACCAACCGGCCTGACAGGGTGTGCGGCAATGCACAACCTCCTCTTCAGGGAGGAGGACCTTGGCTGGGTGTGCGGCCCTGCTGAACTTTGAAGTCTACAACAGCAACCCTGGAACTCCACCTTCCCAAGCGCAGCCAGTGGAGAGCTGGGAGGACCAGCTGGCCTTCTTTGCCAGCCCTATCGCCCCAGTGGTGTTTACAACAGGAAGCGGCGGTGTCAGTCAATTCAGCGCCTAAGAAATCACGCTTGGAGGATTCAGACCAACCAACCTCCATCCTTCCCAACTAGCTCTGCTCAGCCTGTAGCGGCCCCTCGGAAGGATAAATGCCAATCCCTTTCTACCTCCAACTCCGTGGATGACCCTCTCTAGGGATCAGTTCCTTAATTTTTAGATTAAAGAGCCTTGGGTGTGGCAATCCGAAGGGGGGCGGGGGTCGTTCTGGAACTACGCTGAGAAACACAAGACTAAGGCTTTCACTTAGATCCTCGGTCCATCTGGAGTAGGTCATCGAAAGCCCAAGCCCGCCCTTGACAATCTCTAGTCCTCAGTTTCCCCAAGAGTAAGAGAGGGGCCGCTGTCCTCAAGTTTGGAGGGTCCAGCAGAATCCACAAGGACGCAATCACCAGCCCACCAGGCGGGGAGTTGGGGGAGCACCTCGGGCCCCGGACCCTAAAGACCCGGTGGACTTGGGGACCCGGAGGGACGGAAGGAAGCGAAGGGCGCGCTGTCCCGGATGTCCGGCGGGCGCAGGCTACTCACGGGTCCCCGCGGTCCGGCCCCCGGCCGCGGCAGTGGATGGGGTTGAGCTCGTCCTGAGGGAAGGCGTGCGCCATGTAGTTGTCATAGCCGAAGACGAACATGCCCCGGGCCAGGTCGCGCATCCGGGCGCGCAAATGCTGCGGGAAGGCGCCAGTGTAGCGCCGCTCGTACTCGTCCGGGCCGGAACCGCGGCCGCCCAGCGTGTAGCCCCAGTGCGCCGGGCCGCACACGCCCGACCCCGGCCGCCCCGGAGCCTCGCGCCGAGCGGCCGCCTTCCCCAGCAGAGGCCGGTGCAGCCACGCCGGGCCCCCGGGCGGCCCTGAAGCCCCTGAGCCTGGTGGAGACACGCCGTCCCGGACCCTCAAGCGCTGGAAGCCGAAGCTGAGCGGAAAGCGCTGGTAGAAGCCCATGCTCGGCCCCAGCCCGAAGACGAGCCACAGCACCGCGTGGAGGCCGAGCCGGAGGAGCACCAGCCCCAGGACGAGCGCTCGCCATTGCATGGTCGCGCGGCCGCCGCGGGCATTATTTTAAAACGCAGGGCACGTACCCAGCCGACCACCACACCCAGTGTCCGCCCCGGAGCCTCGCTCACTTCCCCTTTAAGGAACTCCCTCGTGACGCACCAGGAACTGGCCTATTGTTCCCCACCCTCCGGTTCTTGGGCCCAGCCCGCCTGGCACCCTAGATCACCCGCTCAGCCGCCCGGGATTGGCCCGCACCGAGCCCGGCCTCGAGGGGTGCGGCCAGGAACTCCCGCACCAGAGGCCGCGGTGACCGTGAGGCCCCGCCCCTCTCCTTGCCCCGCCCCCTGGGCGGACCTGAGTCCGGTCCAGCTGGCGTGGCGAGTCCAGGTCGCTCAGGCTTTCCGGGAGAGAACTTCCAACCAATCGGACCACGGCACTGGAGAGCCCGGACACTGGACACAGACGTGGCCTGACCCGCCCAGGCTTGGGTAGATCAAGCCCTGGGGGGAATGTTTGCTTCTCCGGAGATAGATGGAAGAAAGCCAGGCCAAGTCTAGTTTAGAAGTAGTGAGGAAAGAAAGGACCGGTTTGTGTAGGGCTCACGTGCGCATATCCAGGGCAAAGTTCTTTTAACTTGAGAATCGGCTCATGGTGAGGGGTGGGACTTCCTACCTTTGGCTCAAAGACTGAACACCAAACATCATCCAAAATATCTTTATAGGAACGCCCTAACTTGAAGAATCATTCATGATACTTTCTAAAACACACTCTGCCACCCCATCCTAGACCAACAGGAAGGGCGGTAGGAATACCACCAAATTTTCATCACAGGTACTTAAACGTCTCTTCCTGTCCCTCATTCTCCTAATCACCTCCACAGTGCAAGGCATCAGCAACCTGACCTTGGAGATGTGGGACAGATTCGACAAATTCCTGATTTTTTTAATTCCTCTAAGAACGTTGCAAATTTCAACTCTTTAAGGGCTTCAGCTGCCACGTATTTGAGTGCCTATAAATTTTGTCCTCCCTAAGTTTGGACCTATCTCACCCCATTTTCAGGGTCAGAGGACTTTGCAATACTAAACTGTGAGGGGGACTAAGAAGACAGGATTACAACACAGAGCAGCACACAACACAGTAAGGCCCTTCCTGTTAGCTGAACCTTTTTATGAGAGACAAAGGCTGAAGCAGAACACAAGGATAGTTTGAACAGGGTCTTTTTTAATTATACAAGCCTTGTGGATATCTATGAACGATGCCTAGGAATCCTACTCCAAACCCAGTTCCAGCTCTTGACACTCAACTAGAAGGTTCTGACACCCCCCTACTTACAGACTAAACAGTAAGTTACACATTGTTTCCCCTTCAACCTACTTTCATGCAAATTTTAGCTTCAATTTGATCTTGCATCATAGTCAACTTTCAGTCACTCTGATGACAGTTCCTGTCCTCACGTCAGTGGAAAGCTCTAATAAAACCCAGTCTTTTAATAACCAGAGAAAACTATCCAGCATAGAAAAAATACTTTTATGGCACAGTTGTCCATAGCAATGTTCTAAACACTGTCAGTATTTTCATTCAATCTTCGTAGAAAACATTACAATGAAGATGGAGTCTCCTGTGTCTGGCTCTTTACATGAGAATGTCTCAGACTGAATGTGGTTGATGAAGACAACACCCATACCTAACTTTAAAAATCCACCCCTAAAATGAAAAATTGTTTTTTGAGATAGGGTCTCACTAGGTAGCCCAAGTTTGCCTCAAACTCGGGAACCTCCTGCTTCAGCTTCCACTGTGCTGAGATTATAAATGTGCAGGGACATAGCTAAAAACACAAGAGTACCACAAGACTAAGGAGAAAAGGAAGCACTGTCAACATCAAACTGGATTCACCGCAGCATGCCAAAGAAATGACTGCTAAGAACCAGAAGTCTGACTGTCAGGTGTTGAACATTCGGAAGCTCTGTCCTCTGAGTGACCTTGCAAAGTTAGTTTCTGGACCTGTTTCCTCAGCTGTAAAAAATTTCCAGTTTTAAGATAAGAACAGTACTTAGAACAAACTTTCATACACACACATAAAATGTATCTGTAACAGTGCTGCATACAGAGTGGGCCCTATTGTGAATGGCCTTACACAAGCCAGGGAAGTAGTCTACACTTTTTATCTGAAGAAAACAATAGAAAAAAGCAAACTGCCAAATCAGCAAGCAGGCTTTTTATGTGGGTAAGACCAAGACAATGTTTTGTATGCTGTTAATTTCTGAAGCATGCGACTTTACCTATTAAAAGTTAACTTCAAAAACTAAATTGAAGTTGGGGGTGAGGGGGACTGGTACATGCCTCAAGTCCTACTCAGGATGCTAAGGCAGGATTGCGTTGAAGCCAAGAGACAAGACTAGCCAGAGCAGCATAGCGAGCCCACTGTCTCCGAAAGGTAGTGGGCTTCCGTTCCTCCCACCTATTCTGCCAAACCAAATGTAGCACCTTCCCTGGGAGAACTGATGTTGTGTGTGCACCATGCCCCAGCTCTTTGTATGATTAACTGATGCTTCCACAAAATGGAAAAATTACCTTTTTAGTCCTTCTGTGAACTGTGAGGAAGACTACTGCTCTCCTTAGGAGAGAGACTGGTATGACAGACAACAATTTTGAATTTCTCCTTGAAAACTAATAGGAATGAAGTTAGCTAATTTAGCACATTGGGTAATAGGAGGTAACTCTTTTTAAGATTTATTATGTGTATTGAGTGTTTTTCCTGCATGTGTGTATGTGTACCACATGCATGCCTAGTGACCATGGAGGCCAGAAGGTGTTGGCTCCCCTGGAACTGCAGTTATGGACAGTTGTTAGCCACTATGTAGGTGCTGGGAACTAAACCCAGGTTCTCTGTAAGAGCAAGCAGTGCTCTAAACTCTCCAGACCCTGGGGAGATGTAAAAAAAAAAAAAAAAAAAAAAAACAAAGAAACAAGATAATCCATTTTGGTCAGCTTTTAATCCCAGCATTCAGGAGGCAGAAGCAAAGGCAGAGGGATGAGGCCAGCCTGTTCTATCTAGCAAGTTCCAGGCCAGCTAGGGCTATATAGTGAGACCCTGTCTTTTTAAAAAATTTAAAAGCCATTATGTGGGCTAGATTGTGTAACACTGAGGGCAGGCCACTGTTGCAGAAGACAGCTTGGAGAGAGACTACCGTTAGGCAAGTGACTAACGTTTTACCTCCCATGTTCAAAAGGGAAGAGAGGTTTGGTTGGCTCCCCTCCCCCTTCTTTACTTTGAAAGGAAGTATTTTCTAACTTTTTCAGGTTTGTCCTGAGCTCTAAATTCTAATTGAAAGTGTTATACATTAGCTCTAAACTGTTTAGCCCCAGATTCTTGGTAGATATGTTTTTCCTCAATGTATCCAGAGGTAAATATTTTTTCTCAAGTCTGGGCAAAACATTTGAAACTGTAAATGCTTTTCCAAATGCAAGTCTGTATGTTAACAGCATTTCCTTTCTAAATTGTTGCGTCATTCTGTAAACCATCTGTGTTGGTGAGGACTTTATTAAAACTGAAAGTTAAAAAAAATGTAAATCTTTCCATGCTTTCAAGTAGAAGGCACATGAAACAGTCACTAGGACAAGTGGGCATTGCATACCTCTAACTACAACCCACATCTCTAAGCTACCAGAATCACAGCCTGCTAGTGGGGAGGCTGGGTTAGAAACCTTTTTCTCTGTTAGCCTGGAAAACCAGCTGGTGGGCTTCAGTGATTCACAGGTACACTATCAGTTAATGACCAAGAAGAGGGCAGGGGGAGATGCCTCAGAGGTTACAAACATTTGCTGTTACAGAGGACCTGGATTCAGTTCCCAGCACGTACATGGCAGCTCACAACTATCTATATCTCCAGCAGGGGATCCAATGCTCTCTTCTGGCCTGAGGGCACCAAGCATGTGCATGGTGCATATATACACATGCAGTCAGACTCATACCTAAAATATGTCTTAAAAATGTTTACAAAGGGGCTGGAGAGAAGGCTCAGCGGTTAAGAACACTGGTTGTTCATGAAGAAGACCCGGGTTTGAATTCCAGCACCCACATGGCAGCTAACAACTGTAACTCCAGCTCCAGGGGATCTGAAGGCCTCTTCTGTCCTCCACGGGCATTGCACAAGGGTGCACTTACCTACATGCAGGCAATATACTCATACACATAAAATAAAAATATTCTTTAAATGTTTACAAAGAAGCCAGGTGTGGTGGCGCATGCCTTTAATCCCAACACTAGGGAGGCAGAGCAGGCAGACCTCTGTGAGTTCAAGGCCAACCCGGTCTACATAGTGAGTTCCAGGACAGCTGGGGCTACAGGGAGACCCTGTCTCAAAAAGACAAAAAAAAAAAGTTTACTAAGTATCTGAGATGGCATTTTCACCTATCCAGTACTGGTCTCAGAACCAGGCTGCAGGGATATGTTAGAGGCCTCTTCCCATAGCCCTTCCTTTCCCCAGCAAAATGAGGTTGAGGTTTTCTTCCTGCCTAATTCCTGCTGGGAAATCTGCATTACCTAATTGTGGTCATTCTAGTTTAAAATATTTTATGTGTATTGCCTGCGTGTATGTAAGTGCACCCATGTCATGCAAAGCCCACAGAGGTCAGAAGAGGGCATCAGGATCCCCTGGAACTGGAGTTTTGGATGGCTGTTAACCATTATATGGGTGCTGGGAATTGAACCCAGATCCTCTGCAACAGCAGCAGCCAGTGCTCTTAGCCACTAAACCATCTCTCCAACTCCAGTAATTCTATTTTAAAAAAGAATTATCTTGCTCAAGTGAGGCCTTGTTAATGAAAAGAATGATAAATGACTGTTGCTATGGCTTAGAGACTACTCACTGCAGTCTACCTAACAGGTCAATGGCCTGCTTCTGGTTTCCTACAATCACCCAAGGGGTATCAATGATGAGGTACCCATTTTTATTAACAGCTGCATTTGAAATTGAAATCTATGGAGGTTATTTACCAACAGGAAACACCTGGTGAGGGACACCCACTTGTAGAACAGCAAACTTACAGGAAGTCTGCAAGGCTACTGTTTGCATTACTGGTTTTATTCCTCTCAAGAGTGAGCTGGTAGAGGCATGACCTTCAAAGTTTGCAATAAAAAGAAAACATTTTAAACAGCAATCATGATGGTTTCCCCACATTTTTAAAGTCCTTGGCCAGCTGGATGTTACAGATGAGTACCCATACAGCATATTCAGACTTCTGCCCTCTAGACCCTTTGAGAGGCTGTAACTACCTATCAACCTGATTCAACTAAAACTAAGGTACAAAAGGAAATTGCTCCCTCAGTCAAATGTAGACGAGAGAGAGAGAGAGAGAGAGAGAGAGAGAGAGAGAGAGAGAGAGAGAGAAAGAAAGAGCAGCATAGTCAGAGGCTAATTTTAGAAGTCTCAGGTTTTTAGACACATACTATAACCCCACACCCAGAGGATAAGGATCATGAGTTTGAAGCCAGCGTAAGCTTGAAAAAGCAAGAACAGCAAACAGAAAAACCCACATCTTGAAAATAGAAGTTTCCGTTTTTGAAAGCAGATACAAATTTAGAACTGAGCTAAATGTGCACCTTCCATAGCCCTTCCCCAGGCCCATCTGGACTCAGACTCCTTGTAACAAACTTATTTACTATCAATTTCACAAAATAAGAGATTCCTAGGCATAGAAAAGCGAGATTACACACCCAATTAGCAAATAAGGGCTACTAGCCGTACAGAATGACAGTACACAGAGAAAGACAACTTTGCTGTGTGTTAAAACCATTTCTCCAACAGCATTCCTAAATATCAATGTATTTTGGAGTTCAGATGACCACATACTAGCAAAATGAGCCAAATGCTTTACTCTAAAAATGTGGCCTTGTCAGAAAACCAGCATTTTTTATTTCTGTGTGCTGTGCATATGTTATATGCATGCACACGTGTCCACCAGTGTGGCTGTGTGTGCCATGTGGAGGCCAGAGTTGATGTGAGGAATCTTTCTCAGTTGCTCTCTACTGTATATACTGAGGCAGGGTTGAACCCAGAGCTTCCAGACTGTGTCAGTGTAGCCAGCCAGCTTGATGTCTCAGCCTCTCCAGTGCTGGGATTAAAGGTAAGCTGCCACACCTGCCAGGCATTTAAGTGCATAGGATCCCAACTCCAGTTTAAGTGGCAATAAATCATCTTCCCAGCCCCAGATCTGCATGTTTGATGATGAAAGTATTTGCATCCTGAATTGAATTAGACAGGTCTTGCAATTTCAGGTTCTAATATAAGGATTTTTCCCAACCTGGGATGTAGCTTAATGGTAGAGGGGATGCCTAGTACATGCAAGAGTCCTGGATTCAATCCCTATCAGTGAAAATAAAAAATATAAATAAAATAAACTGGATGATAAACTGGATGATAAAATTCTCTACAAACAAGCCCCCTACCATCTAAAAGTCCTACCTGTGTGGATGGAGGAGCAAAGGTGTGACTCAATGGTAGTAGAGTGCCCACCTAGCCATAGCAGGGACTGGGTTCAGCCCCCAGTACTCCCACCTTCAAAGTGTTAGCCTAAATTTGTTAAGTCACTCACTACAGTTTACAAGTAGTAGAATGTTCTCCCACACACAAAAAAATTAATATTTAAAATTTAAAAAGAAGGGGCTGGAGAGTTGGCTCAGCAGTTAAGAACACTGGCTGTTCTTGCAGAAGACCCAGGTTTGAATCCCAGCACCCACATGACAGCTAACAACTATCCATAACTCCAGTTCCAGGAGATCTGACAGTCTCTTCTGTTCTCTGCAGGCACAGCAGGACACAGGTGCACTTACATACATGCAAGCAATACACACATACACGTAAAATAATACATTATTTTTTAAATTTAAAAAGAAGAGACAATCAGAGCATCAGTTCTGTGGCTATTTTAAAAGTTTATTTCTAGTTCAGCCCACAAACACAACTCTTTGATGTCTGAGTTGACTTCTTGCACGTGGTCTACGAAGCCCCTCGTGGTACTTCTCTTCCTGTTCCTTTCCAAAACAGATCTGCACCTTTCATCATGGTGCACATTTTAAGTCAAAATTGCCAATACAACCCTCAAAATGCAAGTTTATTGAATAAAGCTGAGTAGAGCAGTAAACAGACGAAAATGCATCCACCTAAATAAAAAAGTTTACGTATTTACAAAGTTCAGTAACTGTTAGGTTGGCTTTCACATGCAGAGGTTATGCACAGGAAATGTTGGTAGTAGCTTTTAGATGTCCTGAAATGCTGAAGCAATGGAAAGACACAAAAACACATTAAGGTTTAGCTATAGGTCAATCAACAAACCTATGCAGTCCCCACCTAGTCACACATTCTAGTTCCAATCCCTCCTTTAGGCACACAAAAAGAAGTTGCCACATTCTTTGAAATGGTTCATAGTCACGTCGGGCTACAGTAGCATCTTTAAATATCCCTTCGTTCAAACAGCCCATCCCATCTGGGAAGTATGCAACATGCATCTAATAAGAACAGAACTTTAAAAGCCCAGATTGTACTCATTAAAAATGTGAATGGAGAAAAACAAGTAGTGTCTGTGCAACACAGTGCGGTATTTGTACAGAATATTTTTAAGGCCATGGCAGTCTATAAATTAAAACAGGTATGCACTAAAAGAACTAACTGTTGACTACACGCTGAGTGCTCAACACACCTGGAAATGCACTGTCTACATTAAGTGCTGCTTAACAGAAGAAACAGAGTCACACACAGTGTGAGGCAACATAGGAGCAGTGTGAACACAGCACATGAATAACAATTTACAAGTGAGCCAGTATTGTATGTCCCTTTATGTATTTGGAGATCCCTAAACTACAAAACATGTTCATTGCAAGTCTGTATACATTTCTGTATCATAGAAGCAAATACTACACAGAATCGGTTCCTCAGTTCTCTGTGTGACTGATTATTAAACAACCTGTAGACGTTGCACATGATTACATTAGATAAAGCAGGCAGGTCTAGAGTTGTCACAATCATCAAGACGTCTAATGGCACCAGACAAAAGGGTGCCAAACCTTACACTGGTAAGAAAAAAAAATAACAATTTATTTGTTTATAAGGATCTTTTGTGCTGAAAGTCAACTTTATGACTGGATATAAAAAGTCAGGAGTTAAGAGTGTCATGCAGCAGCACAGGTTCAATGACTGCAGATACAAAGAACAGATGTGTGTTCAAACAAAGTCACACATTCTTTAACAGGTTTTATTATACTGGCTGGGAATGCTCTAAATTCTTGAAAGCTTTTGAGAAAATCTTCAATCCCCAACCTTTTAAAAAAGTGTGTTGAAAGGGGAAAAAAAAATGAGTGATCTGGACAGATACAAAGAGCATGCTTTAATTCCTCCCACCTCCCCAAAAGCCATCTATGATAAAGGAGTCTTTTTAAAATTCACCAGGTGGGAAGTCTCTAGTGTCAAGAGCCCATGATGATCCGGTATGTCTGCTAACTCTGTGCAGACTATTACTGAATTCCTACAGTGTAATTTTACATGCATGTGTGAGATGAGATAAACATTGTTTATATCCCACAGGAGTCAGGCTTAAAGCTCTTCTAAATACTGTGTGGCACTAGAATTTCATGCTGCATCAAGTCAGTATCAGTATTAAGCTGGACTCTATAATGAAATCTAGGTAGATGCTTACCAAAACCAATATAAAAATCTGGCCCAGAACAACCAGAATGGAAATATGCAAATTTCTTAATTTAAGATGGTCAAAAATGTGTCCTTTTTTCTTTAAAACAAAACAAAACAAAACAAAAAAACTCTCCACACTAGACAGGCATGTGTGTGAAGCCGTTAGAGTGTGCTGACTTTATCATGACAACTCCAGCTGATTCATTAGGAAGATTAGGGTTACACATCTTCAGCAGTGCACATGAGAAATAAACTCTGAAAAAGGCAATTTCTTGGGTTTAGGAAGGACCATATTCTGGGAAGTACTTGAGAGGAACGGACAGTAATTCTAAGATTATAGCCAAGAAGGAATGGAAGACTTCAGAAGATGTTTCAGCTTCTTCGAGATTTTGAATGTTGAATAAGCCACTGAAGTGTGATATCTAAACATGGATAGAAAAATGACAGTTAAGATATCAACATTAAGAAACTAAACAACAAACAGAGACAATACTTAAAATGCAGTTAAATCGAGGAGCTATGTCTTTCCTGCAATCTGTACTCCATCACCTGAGTTTCATGAGGACAGTAAGAGAAATGATCAGATTGAACAGCCTTCTGATTTTAAAATTCAACTGAGTACAGGATACTGGTACCCTCTTACATCTATTGCCTATAAGATCAGGAATTACACACAAACTGCCAGGAAACCAAAGATATGAGAGAACAGGACTTATAAATATAATCAAAAAGGCAAAAGTCATCATTTGAATTTGGACATCACTCCAGAGACTGGAATCGCAAAAGCAAAAAAAGAGCCAAAAGGCATACTTCACTCTACAATACTGGATGGACTGGTTAGATGTGGCTAAAACCCAAGGAAAATGGGGTTGCCTCTCATTGTGAAGGCTAGACCACGCTTCACAGGCTTGGCCTTGTGATACCTGGGGCTGGATGGTTCTTGTTTCATAGAGAAAGCCTTTTTTGTGCCCCATGGGATGTTTTAGGGCATTGACAGATTTGTCTACTAGGTGCCTTATCAATCCCAGTCCCACTGTGACAACCAAAATGTCTCTTGCATTGTGACAAAACATCTCTAGACTGTGCAAAATGTCTCCAGGGAGTTTTATTCAATAATAATAAAAGAACAAAATTATGTCATCTGTAGGGACATGGATAGAAATGGAGATCATCATGTTACACAAAAAAGCCAGTCTCAGAGTTTTCTCTCATATGGGGAATCTATATATCTACATCTATATCTATCTGTCTTACACAAAAGAAGGGAAATTATTTGAGGAGGAAGGGAAGTACAGGGAAGTGATGATGAGAGAGGATAATGGGAGAGGAGAGAGAATATCAAGTGTTTTATATGTAGAACCTACATTGAAACACAAACACACACACACACACACACACACACACACAGAGGACATCAAAGCAGAGAGAGGGAGACTCCTGGGGGAAGGAGGGAGCCCAGCAGAAATGAGGAGAGAGGACGAGTAAGGAGGAGATGAACATGAACAAAGTATAATATTCATACATGTATACGTTAATGTTTTTATATTTTGTAAGTATGTATATTGCCTGCGTGTATATACGTATACCTGAGTTGTGCAATACCCTCAGAGGTCAGAAGAGGGTGTCAAATTCCCCTGGAACTAGAGTTATGGACAGTTGCTAGCCACCATGTGGATGCTGGGAATCAAACCCGGGTCCTATGCAAGAGCAGCCAGTGCTCTTAACCACTGAGCCAACTCTCCAGCCTACACATGTTAATTTTAAAAACAATGCATCCTGAGGACAAAATGTGCCTGTGTTGAAAACTACTGGGTTAAAGGCAACAAATGACTTAGTATGCCAATCTTAGATGCTACTGGAAATTACTGGAGAATTTTAAGTAGGGAAGTCATACTAGCTTATTTTAGCAAGCTAGCAGGTGAAACAGGAGGCCAACTTGAAGGACTCCAATACGCAGACTGACTCTCTCAACTGAGTAAAGGGATAAAAGCCTAAGGCAAGCTAAGCACTGTCAACGAGTAACTGAGGAAGGTCCAGAGCTGAGAGAACATGAGTGACTACTATACAGGCAGTAGTGGCATCAGGCCTGGGTGAGGATGTGAGCCATGAGGCTGACCAAAAGATGGCTAAAGGACAACAGCTATGAAGGGGCAATTAAGAATTCAGCTGCAGGTGTATCAAATCTGAGGAGTGGTACAACACACATGAAGATGCGTTAACAGGCATTTTAGGTCCACAGATGTAGAGAGGTAACTAGTAAGGTGTGATGGCTAATCCTGGGTGTCAACTTGACTGGATCTGGGATTAACGGAAATGAGAGAGCTCTTCTTGATTGGATCATCTGAGGATGGAAGACACACCCTAAATGTGGGTGCCACCTTCTGATGACAGCCTGTATAAAAGGCCAAGGCAGAGGAGCACACCAGGCTTCTTGCTGCTTGCCTTCTCTCTCACTGGTAACTTCGTCTTGCTGGTGTAGACTGAAGACTAGCTGATCTTTTGGAGTTCGTCAGACCTTCAGCACCAGATTGGGACTGAGACACTCAGCCTCATGGACTGAGCGACTACGGATTCTCAGCCTCTCCAGTGTGGTGCAGCCATTGTTGGACTACTCAGACTCTATCCTGTGAGCTAAGCTGACAGACCCTGACTAATACACAAGGAATCATCAGACAGTTAAAGTTACAGCAGCTAGGAAAAACCAGGAGCCAGGAAAAGCATAGAGACCGGGAAGAGAAGGCAGCTGTGCTGGACAGCTTTAGTGTCAACTTGACACACCTGGGTTGAGGGAGCCCAATTAGGAAATTGAGTCCATTGGACTGGCCTGTGGCCACATCTGTGGGGCATCTTCTTGATCGTGGAATGATATGGGAGGGCCCAGCCCACTGTGGGTGGTGCCACCTCTGGGCGGGTGGGCCTGTGTTGTATAAGCAAGCTGAGCAGGGGCCAAGGGCGCAAGCCAGTAAGCAGCGTTCCTCCATGGCCTGTGCTCCAGCTCCTGCCTCCAGGTTCCTGCCCTGAGTTCTTACCTTGGACTCCCTAATGAACTATGACCTGGGAGATGTAAGCCAAATAAACCCTTTCTTCCCCATGTTGGTAGTGGTCAGAGTGTTTTGTCACAGCAGTGGAGAATCAAGCCAGAAGAGCAGCTAAGTCAGAACACTGAATTACTGTTCTGAGTTCTTTAAAAGGTATTACCCACCTCAAGGCTATGTGAGAATCTATTAGATGTAGCACTCTGTCTTCCAAGCCTAAAAGATAACTGTAAATTTGATCTTCCACTTTCCGAGGTAATACCCATTAAAGAAATTGTAAGCCACACACATATCAAGAACTAGAGCTGTGATGTGAACACACATGACAATTCAGTGGGAAAAACAATGATTTAACAATCACTTAAACAAGTTTTTTACATCTTTTATTATACCAATATGAAATAAGGGGAAAAATAATCCTGAAGTAAAATTTTAATATTCAAGAAACTATTTTTTAAAAGGCTAAAAAAACCCTCCTATCCTCTATGAACAATGGACAGGTCAGTCTTCAAGGCCAGATAAAAAGGCAGAAGGAATGGACAGTACCTAGGTGTAAGAGTTATCTTCTTGACTAGTCAGTCACAGGTATAAACAATCCCCACACATGACTGGAGGACACATCCTTGATAACTCAAGAACTCAAATCCTTATTGGCTATTAGTTTTAGTTCTTGCTTCAAGTGAACAGGCATTCTAATTTATAAAGTCCTCAATTTGAATCTAGTTCAGAGTGCATTGGTTTTCTTAGACTTAGTAACACTTTAACTGAACCATGAATTCTACAATTACAACTACTGAGCCCAAATAAACCATGAAGATCAGCCTCAAACACCAAATGAGTACTCACCCTGTGCTGCATCATCCCTTGTGTCCTTGAACCCAAAAGACCTCACTTTCCCTCCACGTCCGTTCATCCCTCCCTCTTCAACCTTCTCATCCCTCTCTCCCTTTCTCTTTCTTCTTTCTGAGCTAGGGTCCTGGTCCTGCTTTGCAGCCATGGCTGGCCTGTGTAGCCTAGGCAGGCCTCAAACTCCTAACAATCCTCCTGCCTCAGCCTCTCAAAAGGAACATACCATCAAGCCCAGCTGATTTTTGTTGTTGTTCTGGGGTGACTTTCCTTCAGAAATATCTGGCTAGTTTGTGACAGTGAGGAAAGATTTTGTTCCTCTGGTCTGTTTCTGCTCTAGGAAACACTAGCAAATGCTGAAGGGACTAACGGGCTGAAGAAACAGCACAGTGTACTGAAAGCTACAGTCAGTGTAGAGCAAGGTTCCTCAGAGCCCTGCTTCGACTGACATTCTCTGCTGGTTAATTCTTGTTGTGGGGACTAAAGGACATTTAGTAACAGCTATGGTCTCTGCTCCCTTCCAGTTACGACAACCAAAAGAAAACATCTCTAGACACTGCCACATGTCACCTGAGGGAACAACCCCTCAGTAGAAAACATCAAGTCCATGACAAACTTCAGCAGTTTCCCCCACTCACAGTAACAGAAGAAAGCAGCAGTCACCCAGTGACACTACTTTTCCCAGAAACATTAGTAATTTCTTACCTATATTATCCTTTTCTTTGCAAGAAATTGAATAGCAGCAAATTTCTCTATCCTGAATAGCAGACAGATTCCTACAAGAAACAGAATTGGTAAAAGTAATGACAGCTGCTATATTTAGCACACTTTGCTCAGTTTTATTCATTTTTATTACTATGCTATACTATCTTACTACAAAAATTTTAGAGATTCACTTCTTTGGTTGGCTAAGTTTATTCACCTAAAAACACTATTGAATAATGTAATTATGCTTACAAAATACTTGACAAAATTTAGAAAGAACCTTTTCAAATATTACTCATTTTTAGGACCTACATTTTTTCAATTAGCTGTTTCTCATCCAAGGCATTTGGAAGATCTCTCTTGTTTCCAAGTACTAGTACCTTTAAAAACAAAAGACATTATGGGTAAACCTTATGTACAAAAATATCACAGAAGTATAGTATATCACTGTGTATCTGAGTAAGTCAAAACTGGTTTCATGTTAGCATATGCCTTAATCTTAAAGCACACTTAAGAAAAATAAAAATAAATAAATAAATAAATGGCACATTTGCATACCTAGAAACCTATATGATTCATTTAGTCACACAAGTATTTATTTACCTTCTACCAAGAAGGCACTCTTTTTTTTAAATTTATTTTTATTTTTATTTTATGTGTATGAGTATATTGCCTGCATGTATGTGAGTGCACTCGTGTCATGCATTGCCGCGGCGGTCAGAAGAAGGCTTTGGATTCCCCTGGAACTGGGGTTAAGGACGGTTCATAGCCGCCATGTGGATGCTGGGAATCAAACCCAGGTCACCTACAAGAGCAGTCAGTGCTCTTAACAGCTAAGCCATCTCTCCCTCCCCAAGAAGGCACTCTTAATTCAGTTTGTGGCCAACTTTTATTTAAGATACTTTATCTAGGGGGGCTGGAAAGATGGCTCAGTGGTGTAGAGCACTGGCTGCTCTTGCAGAGGATCTGGGTTCGGTTCCCAGCACCCACATGGAAGATAACAACCATCTGTAACTCCAGTTCCAGGAGACCCAATGCCCTCTTTTGGCCTCCACAGGCACCATATGTACATGGTGCATGTACATACATAAAGGCAAACACTCATACACATAAAAATAAATAAAACTTTTAACATTCTATATGTCAGGGCATTATGGTGCACACCTTTAATCCCAGCACCCAGGAGGTAAAGGCAGGCAGATCTCTGAGAGACTGAGGCCAGTCTCCTGGTCTACATAGTGAATTCCAGTCAGCTGGCAGTACTGGGAGACCCTGTCTCAAAGAACTATATATAATTTTCTATCTAAAATATCTAGGGGCTGGCAAGATGGCTCAATGGGCAAAGGCACATGCTGCTAAGCCTGACAACATGAATTTGATCCCAGGGACCCAGAAAGGGAAGGAGAAAATCAATTCCCACAGGTTGTCCACTAATCCCACAACATGGACACACACACACACGAAATAAAGTAATAAAAAAATGAAATTTAAAATATTCTAAGGCACTGATGATGCAGCTCAGTTGAAAGATTGCTTGCCTAGCATAAATGGGGCCTGGGGTTCTAGTCCTACCACCACATAAACCAGTGTGGTGGCTCAATCATGGCACTTAGGAGGTCGATGCAGGAGGATCAGATGAGCATGTATATAGCAAGCTCAGCTATGTAGCAAGTTGGAAGCTATCCTGGGCTACATGAAATCCTGCCTCAAAAAATAAAATAAAAATATTCTAAGTCTGGGCTTGGGCTGTCATTCAGTGGTAGAATGTATGCTCAATGTCTTGGGCTCAATCCCCAGTACTAAATAAAACAATTCTAAGCCCATGTTGTATATTCTGAGATTTCTTGATAAGTCATAACCAAAATGCAAATGAGAGCTTCACAACTGCAGGTAGAGAAACTATATCTTATCTGTCAGTCATCATGCAAATATAAAAACAGGATTTTAGTATTTGGGATCCTAGAACTGGGAGTACAGCTCAGTGGTGAATCATATACTTGTCATGTGAGAGTTCCCTTGAGTTCTAAGCTGGGGAGATGGCTCAGTAGGTAAGGGAACTTGCTGTGAAAGCAAGAAAACTGGAGTTCCAACCTCCTGAGTTCGAATCTCCAATACCCACAAAAATCTGGGCATTCCTGGTAACCCCAGTGTTGCGGGGGCTGAGGCAGGTGGATCCCAGAATTTGCTGGCCAGCTACCCCAGTGGAAAGAATAGCTTCAGATTCAATGAGAGAACATGGCTCAAAGAGAAGGGAGAGACACCCAATATCCTCCTCTGCCCTCCATTTGCTCATGCACTCACATATGCACACATGTGGGCATGCACAACACCCCCCCACACACACACATGCATCACACACACACAAAGAAAAGAAAAAGGGGGGAAAGGGAGTTCCTTGGGTTCAATACCCAACACCAAAATTAGTGAAAAAATAAAATAAGCCAGGAGTGTGATGTACACCCATAATCTCAGCACTCAGGAGGCAGATGCTGGCAGAACCTGAATTTTCAGCCAGCCTGAGCTAAATAGTGAGTCCATGTCTCAAAATAATATAAACATACAAAAATTCAAGAACATTATGTATGTAGCCCAACTTAGCTTTGAAGCTATAATTCTCCTGCCTCAGCCTCCTGAATGCTGGGGTTCTAAGCATGCACCACCACAACTGGCTTTATAGTATCATTTATACATAACTCTAAACAATGGGTAAATGTGGACCTCAGATGAATACAGCAGTCATCTGCTCTGTACAAATGTTATCATCTGATCGTTCAATATGCTTTTAAAAGAGAGCCAAGAGCTGGGTACTATGGCCCAGACCCGTAGTCTCTACACTGGGACGGCTGAGGCAGGTAGACTGCTCAGAGCCTGAGGCCAGCTTGGGCTACACAGCAAGTTCTAGGTCACCCTGGGGTACATGGTGAGACCCTACCTCCTACTCCCCCACAAAGGAGACCAAGGGTCTTTTCAATTGCCATTTTTATAATAGCTTTTCTCCTTTATGGACAGCAGAGATTATGCTTCCATAAACTTGATAACATCCATACTCCCAATTAGGATTTGTATCTTGAAGCAAGGGCAGAGGAACAGTCACCAACTGTGCCAGGAACTTTCAAGGAACTGTTAACTGAAGACTACAGAGAGCCACAAGATGAATCTCAGTGCCTTTGGCCCACTAGTCTTCCCTCTTCTAACTCTCACCCTTTCCACATTGCTAATAAAGTCATTCCCTGTTCTGAAGCTGTTGAGCCTCTAATCATACACCAGTCATTTGTGATCCTGGTTGCCCAGCATCTTTTCCATACCCTACTCTCAGGAAAGCTACTTGCTTCCATAAATACTTATTTCAATCTTCCCAGCTTTCCCTTCAGTTACACTCTGAATACAGACATTAACACAAGGATTGAAAGCTACCTAGTCAGTCACAGTCCAGCATGGAGGGGGGAGGGGATCAGGAGCCTCCATCTCCAACTGAAGAGTTACTAACAGTGGATGTCTTCTGAGGGACGGAGAGTCAGTTTTCTTTAAGGGATTGGCATCTGGCAGGTTGAACATATTCCACTGGATGGCCCCATACCCAGGAGTATACGGGCAGGACAAATTGGACTCAGTAGGTTATTTAAAAAGGAAAAAGAAAAAAAAAAAAAAAAAAAAAAAGACATGAGATAGGTATGAGTGGGAATGGGTTTGGGAGGAGTTAGGAGGAGTGCATCAAATTCTCAAAAGAATTAATAAAACATGGGACTGGAGAGATGGCTCAGCGGTTAAAAACACTAATTGTTCTTGCAGAAGACCGGGGTTCGAATCCCAGCACCCACATGGCAGCTAACAATTGTCCGTAACTCCAGTTCCAGGGAATCCGACAGCCTCTTCTGTCCTCTACAGGCACCACACAACATGGGTACACCTACACACATGCAGGCATAACACTCACACACAAAAATTAAAAATAAATTTTTCTTAAACTTTTTTTAAAGTCAAGGACAGAGAGGCACTGTAATAGAGGAGCACCCACCAGAAGACCTCCCAACAGAGCAACTGTGCTCTCAGAGCAGAAGTTGCAGTTGTCACCAGGATCACCCTGCAGTATAAGCTTACATGAGATCCTGGCAGTAGCACAGCTTCCCTTCCCCCAGCCTATTTTCTAAGCCTGTAAGTGCACAGCCTTCCCCAAGACTCCTTCCAATGAATTCCTTTCTACTTAGGTCACCTTTCTTCTTCTTCTCTTTAATACATATATATTTATGTGGGGGGGGGTTATTTTG